AAGTTGCTACAAATTCATTGCATCACCGGAATCAAATAGGAAATTGGTAGCTCGAAATGTGCTCAAAACATTTGGAAGCATCATAAGAACCCCAGGCTATCGATATGTTCTGAAATTTCCCCTATTATTCTCACTAGCTTATGCCATTCATCTAATGAAGTCACTAATTTATTCGGCAGTTATTTACACCCAGTAGCAGTGTTGGTCGCCAAGTAATCGCTTTACTTCATTATTATGAATAAATTAAGCGAACGTGAAACACAAGAAGAATAGAAAAAAAGGAAAGAATCAACAAATTAGCAGAACTGATATCAAAAACGAGTAAGGAAACCAGATCAAGGTAAGCCTACCTTTATAACAATGAACAAATCCGATAGCGGACAAGAAAGACTGAATGCTGCTTGGCTGCATCTTAAAGTAAGGCATTTATCTCAGTTCAGGGAAAGGAAATAGAAAACCTCTACCTCTCGGTAGCTTCAGCAAACGAATGGCTTTTATCGACCATCCGTCGTATTTCCTCCGGATTCACATCGAAATAGAAATTTTCAGTTACTTTTCGACGAGCTTTCGCATCATAAATCGCTATCGAACCAAAGAGAGGCTCAAAGAATGGGTCCACAGATAGCTGAAATGTTACCGTTACACACAAATAAACACAATAAATAATAGGTAAACACATATTGGTTCACTAACTTCGATATTTTAATCGCGCAACTTGTAAAAAATTTTCAAAAACAGTTTAAACCATTCAAAAAGTCGCCTGCTTATGTTCTCTGCCAGAAGCAACATTACTTTGTTTTACCTATTAACCAGCACGCTTAAGTACCATACTTCTCACATTATTTAATTAACTTCTTCCGAACTTGAAGTCCATTAACCTTGTTAAGTTTAACGAGTCACTTTCACTGCTTAGGAATACTTTCGAGAATAGGAATTATCGAATTCACTGATATTCTTACCCTCATCACTTTGACAATTAGCTTCTGTCCAACTCGTTCTTCTGGATATGGTGGAGTGCTTCTTTTCTCTATTACAGATGACTGAAAGGAATAGCATAGCATCCGTGTAGAACAAAAGCACAGTTTAGAAGATGGCATCAACATAAACTATGTTCGCGAAGCTAAACAATCAAATAAACATACATCGTGTTGAACTGGGAGAAGATTGACAAGATTTGCATGACGACCTGTTTGCCTTCGTGCATCACTCATCAAATCGAGCTGAGTGAAACTCGATCGCTGAATCACGCCTGAAACGACTTCACTGACGTGAAGAAGGAGGAACCCGACATATTCTCTTCTGACAGAGGACTTCGAGTTTCATGAGCACCTTGGAATATTTCTCTCAGATATTCTGTACGGCTGATGGCAGTAACTTACTCAATATTACTGATTCTCACTTTACTTGAGCGCATGGCAAAAGCAAACTAAGTACTCATTGGCACGATTTAAGTGAAGAAGATAGAAAAGCAATTCCAACCCTGGTAAATAGTATGCATAGGAATTACTTACCTGGAATAGTTGGATCCGGTTGACTCTGATGGAGACGCGATTCACGGGAATCTCCTTCGGCAGAGCCCATCGTACCAGATGATGCTGTGGAAGCATATGACTGCCGTTTGGAATCCTTGAAAGCAATCGATCAACCAATATATACAATTCTACTTTTATCACAAGGAACGAATCATCGCTTCCGTCATAAGTGTTTCCGCTCCCCGTCTGCATGCGAAAAAGAACACACCACTCAGATCGAGCTGTTCCAGATGAAGAACCCAGCAGTCACGTCATGATCCTTCTTAGTATACTAAATGGGAGCACGCGAAAAGCCCATGCAAGTGCAGAGGAGCAAGCAACTCTACTTCAAGAATGAAATGGTGAATTTATGAGCCATATTTTGAACAACTATGAGGAAGCCAATAGAAAATAAAACAGCCAAGAATGAGGGCAATATTTAGAAATGTAAACTCATGAAAAAGAAGAAAACACTCGGCAAAAGCAGATGAAAAGCGGTTGAATGAAGGCATGATCTTCTGTTTCAACTAGAAAACCTTCTAATTTGTGATTCCACAATAACGCATTGTAATAATGTTCTCTCTGAGACATCTCTCGAATGAACGGACTGGAATTAACGGAGATAGAATTCGTGTAACCACTGGAAGTCATCTCTACCCTATGGCTGCATAACTTTCTCACCATGCGGTGAAAATCAGAATGTAGTTCGCCAATTACAATCAAATCTACTCAGATGACTAATCTGTAAAACAATCTCCTCAAAGAGAAAAAAATTTACTCGCACAAATCGTATGATAGATGAGAATATTCAATTTATTGTAATGTCTTTACAATATGTCCTCATTCCCTGCAATCATTACAGCTGCAAATGACAAACGATCTGGATTCGGAACAGATGAGTTGGAATGAGAAGCAAAAAAAAGAATGTAGTATGTGGACCTACCGAATCACCTACGACGCTCACACTCCTTGCAACTCGTTCAGCACGACCAGCATCAGCCTCGAAAATTGGACGAGGAGTCGAACGGATGATGATAGGCCGTTCAATCAACATGCGAACATAAGCATCAGCAGAACTGAACTGCTGATACCTGAAAGAGCATAAAAACCTCAAATCGATGACAAAAATCGTGCAACTGTTGAAACAGAGAGCACCACGAGCGAAAACTATTGGCGGATAGACTGCCGTTTATCCATAACAGAATGTATCGCAATAGGCAGTGAGTAAGCGACAACATTGACAGATGTAAATTAGCACTATTGTAAGAACAAAAACATGGAGCACTGAATAACATAAGGCAGTTACCTTTTTTGTACCAACGAAAATTGATCCGTGAAAGAGCAAATGATATCCCGTACATGAGGTGCGATTTTCAAGCTAAAATACAACAAAATAAACAAACAATCTATTATATGTATGTGTCTAAAGAGGCAGTCTTGTAGAGAATTCAAAAAAAGGAATTTCTCAACTGAATCAAAAGAGAGGGAAATTGAGTAGAAAAAAACTTACTCCTTAGTCTCCAAGGGCACAGGTGGATCAACTGTTGCCCAGTCACGAGGCACAATACGTACTTCAACATCGTCAGCGGGAAATTCACTGACTCTGTAAA